CTTGTCTGCCTATACCCCCAAGAAAGCATTTCACCAGCGGGTGTGCAAAACACAGTTGCTTACCAAAAAACTTCATGGCATGAAGAGATGGCAGCGGCGTAGCTTACACAGTAGACAGAGCCAGGTTTCTTTCTACCAGGATCTGTAGAAAAATTCAGCACTTAAGACAGTGGGCAGGAAGTGGGAGCTGTACCCCTCTCTATGCACCAACGTTGAAAAACTGATGATTTGCAGCTTAAGGCGCCGTAATAGACTGAGCTCTCGTGCACTGAATTGCGTGTATGACCGCCAGAGGCAACCTTAGGCTCTCCAGTCACTCCCGTTCAGGGGCCAGGCCCACATCCGTTGCCCTGACATGGGGTACCGCTGGATCACGCCGAGCAGATGAGAGAGTACTTGCGTGCTCCGGAGCTATCCGGAGGATGCGCAGCCATTCCTCTTGAGCGTTCAGTGAGAAACAGAGGTGGCACCGCGCGTTCCCGCATGCTGCGAACAGGCCTGCCACCACTGGGCCGAACCTGTCCCACAGTGTCTAAACGAGGGACAGATTCAGCCTCCACTTGCTGGGCTGAGGTCTGCCTCGCGACATGAGATGTCACTGGGGACGCGCACGGCTCTGAGGGAGAGTAGGTTTTGATGAGCCCAGAGCAGGAGTTTCCTGCAGTTTTCAGCAGCCAGCAAAACCAACACCGCCCTGATGGCTGATGTATGCGATGTATTGCAACGTCTGATCGCACCACTACGTGTCTTCCTCTCAGCACCAGTGCAAGGTGTTTCACCACCTTCAGCACCGTAGCTAGTTCCAGACAGTTGATGTGGAGAGACGGGGTGTGATCCCACCGTCCTCCCACAGCCTGTGACAGACATGTGCCTCCCCAGCTGAGTAGAGACAAGTCTGTGAACACCAAGACGTGTGATGTGGCTCCACCCAGGGGAACTCCCACCGTCAGCACACTGGGAGTTCCCCAGTACTCCAGGTCTGATTGGACCAAGGGGGGAATCGTGAGCACGCGCCTCTTGTGGCACACTGGGTCGAGGGGCAGACGGTCGAACCACCTCTGGAACTTCCCCTTATGAAGAAGACCGAGGGGAACTACGACATGGCTGGCTGATATTGCTTCCAGTAAAAAGCATGACAGATAGAGCTGTTACTCTCGTGTGGGGAACAACACACTGCAGGAGAGATGAAAACACTTCTCACCTGGCGGGTCACAGCCTCGCTTCCATGCTAAGAAAGTCTAAGTGCACTCCCAGGTAGACGATTGTCTGGGTGGGCACCACAGAGCTCTTTGTACAGTTATTACAAAAACCAGTTGTGTCGGGAGCTGCACCAGCACCACTGTGTGATGTCTGGCGCAGGCCATCAGAATCAGGTCTTCTAAATAAAAGAGGACTCTGACTCCTGCTCGGCATAGCGCTTCACTGCACTCAGGATAAAGTGGGGGTGCTAGTGAATAGCTGAAGGGCAGCCTGATGAGTCTGAGTGCACTCCCAGGTAAGAATAGTCTGGGAGGGCACCAGTGAGTGCTTGTCTTTCTTTCTTTCCGTATAGGTTATGCAAAAAAACAGCTGTGTCAGGTACTGCACCAGCACCGCTGTGTGAAAAGCCGCTTGAGGTCTGGGGCACATCATCAGAATCAGATAGTCAAATAAAAGAGGACTCCAATTCCTGTTCTGTGTAGTGGTACTAACGCCACTTCCACGCTTTTGGAAAAACGTGAGGGGTGCCAGTGAATAACCGAAGGGCAGACTGTCATACTGGAAAAATGCACCCCGGGAAGAGGAACGCAGGAACTTCCTGTGTTGGGGATAATAGGTGCATGAATAAAATAGGCGTCTCACAGATCGATGGGACGCACACACTCCAGTACTTGTTGCGGTGAGCATGTGCTCACTATGTAGTTGGTGTACTATGTAGTTGGTGAAGAGAGACAAATCAAGAACAGGTCTCATTTCGCCTGATTTTTTGGGAACCAGGAAGTAGCAGGAGAAGAAGCCCTCGTGCTCCTGCCCCAGTGGCACCACAGAGATACAGTAGCTGCTTCGGCTAACAGCACCTGCAGCTTTGCCATCAGCACAGCGCAGCTCGCAGGTGAAGTCATGACAGTTTCCAGCACACCACTGAAAGCAGGGGGGTGCCTGGAAAAGTAGACTGTAGCCAGTTCCATCAGCTGGTCCATTCAAAACATTCATGGACAACTGCTCTTGCCACTCCGCATAACGCTCCGTCAGTGGACGAGCGTTCGTACACCGTGCACTCTGGTTAACAGCACCTCCAGCTCTGCTGTCAGCACAGCACATACAGAGAGCCTCTCCTTCTTTTCTGAGAACAATTGTCAGAAAACTGCTCTTATGAGTCTGGTGGTGGCCCTGAAAAGACGCAGCTGTGCCCTCCGTTGTGGGGAGAACTCATAAAATGATCGCCCCACTCAGGCTTTTGTCGTTACACTGTTAGTCACCGCACCTGCCTTGGGTGCCTGTTAATGAACGCAGGGCGAGAGGCGAGCAGTGACCTGGTTCAGTGAGCAGATGGGTGGCCCGCCTCCTGCCAAGGGACATCGCCTGGGAAGCAAGATAAGGAGATGCTTGGTATCTGCAGCAGAAAACGGCAGGAAGCCGAGTTGGCCAGATGGGGAGCTCTCGCTCTGCAGCGCCATCTGTAGAAGCCATACATCATGTCTGATGGGGGGGCAGTCGGCGGGGGAGATCAATGCCCCCACGTCTGCCGCCTTTGATGATTTCCGTCAGAAGCGCAGCAGAGCCCCAAAAACCAGAGGTTAACTGGCAGCGGGAGCAAGCAGCTGAACCGGAGGAGGTCCGCTCTGCTGGCA